ATATAAATTAAACAGAGTAAATTTGTGTTGTAAAATGTGTGTTACTTTGTCATTGTAAATGCCTCTCATTATACAGTATATTCAGTAATTGTATTGGATAAAAGTAAAATATATCTGCTTCCCTTCCTACGTTCTTCTGGCAATATCATACAGTAACTCTGAAGAATTTGGTGTTCACTGAAGAAAAACAAGTTTATCATGTTCTGTGTAGTTACAGTTCATTAGGCTTCAGTTTAATAAAAACTAAGATATTGTACCTGCCTTGTCTTTTGTTAGCTGTGGTGGTAACAATAATTCAGGAATTGTACCAGGAAGCAGGAAATTAAATTGGGTGTCTTAAAACCACTAAAGGGCCTTTTCGCCAACAATTCAAACACTTCAGATTGAAATTTACATTTTTTAAGTTTTCTTTGCTTCAGACTGTTATTTACCTATTTCTTGGGTAGATTTGATTCACTAAAGTGCATGAACTGTTCTACATAGACCTACAGTAACACTGGAGTGAAATGTTTGGCAATCATATTCTAGGGTAGTTCTTTTTCTTTCTATAAATAGGGGTAGGTAGGTAATTTTCAAGATATATTGTACATGGATCAATTTAACCAGTTCCTTATGGTTCCTCTTGGCAAAATACAATAGTTCATAATAATGTATTTTGACAAAATGAAAAAAATGCCTAATAGTTAACTGTAGTTTTTTTTTTCTGTGTAGACTTTTATCACCACAGTTTTCTGCTAAAGTGTTATCGGGTAAATCATTCTCTTTTCTGATCTCTCTCTTTTTTTTTTAAACTACAAAATATGAGTGTATCAGGCTAAATTCAATGACATACTACATTCCCATAATAAAAAGAGTATATTGTCTTGATTAATACAGTCCTCTGGAATATGTTTCAGACATACCTCTGAAGAACCTGCTTTTCCCTGTGAGAAGAAAAGGCCTTTCTTCATTCTTGTAAGGTTCACCTAGCAGAGTAAAAGAATAGGGTGTTTTTTATTGAAGTCATTGGAATTAAGTAACATTGTAAAATAAGTTTAAAAAGACCATTGAGAACTATTCTATTGCAGGGAACGTCTGATAACTTACACAAGTGCATTTAATTGCATTTTCAAGAAAAAAACGTATTTTCTTCTATCATATCTCATGACATTACTTTAAGCTATAATTGTTACTGGAACTGGTCAAATATTAAAATTCACAGAAATGCCAGTACAATTGATTATTTTTCAACAACAAAAGAGTTAACAGCCCAGCAAGGAGCTGCTAACCAGGGTTATCTGCCTGAATCCTGTTTTGGATATTTAATGTTGCATGATGAAATCTCCCAAGAACAGTCTGTAAAGAGTGATGGCTGTACTGCACATTTCATTCTATGAATGTCATTACCTTGACTCCAAATACAAAGGTGATTTCTGTGTTGCTTGGTGTTTTTAAACAAATGAGATTCAGTTTATATTTACTTTTATATATATATATTTATATTTACTAATAATAAGTCATCCTAATAGTGGAACACTATAGTTACAACAGTGGCATTTTTCCTCCCATTTTTGCTTGTATTTAAAATCCATGTAGCCTTGCAGCTTAATACTTGTCTGGTATACTGGATCACATTAGCCATAATATAATTACATTGCTGATAATGACCTAATAATTTAGATAAGTGGTGACAAAAATTAGAATCCTGGTTCAACCAAGATGGCAGCCTGACTGACATATTTTCAAAATCTTTCACAGTTTTTCTCTTATGATGTGTTACACAAGTGGAATTGAAAATTGGTAGATTTCATTAACAACTAAAGCTTTTTCAAATTAGATTTTGGAATGTTGTTAAGCTTTTTTATATACCACCAGGTCTTAAACCATTTAGAGAAATGTGGCTCTTCACACAAGCTGCTCATACTCAACAATGTTTTGAACAATTAACTCCAAAAGTTATACATTTAATTCTAATCACATAAAATTCATATACAGTATGTACAGTAAGTTATTCATATATGAGTTCCTCTGAAGACCAAAGATGGCCACCAAACCACATTTAATAAATCATTTTCTTCATTGAAATGGTCTATAATGTCAACTTATGCTGTTTAAAAACATATGGGTAGTTAACTCCAGACTGGTGAGCGTACCATAAATATCTCTGTTGCTCTTGCAGATACCAAGTTGGCTGCATGACTGACATTTTGCTCTCACAACTCAAACTTGATTGCTTGTTTGTAATCTTTGTTCCCCAAAAGGTTCAAGGATTGGCCAATTAATTCCAAATGTCTTAGGTATTATTCTTGTGGTAGTGCTGCTTACGTATGGTGAAAAGGGATCCTGCATAAACCACAATCACTGTCTGAACTGAAAGGTTCTATTGTCAGGAGAACTACTGCATCACTGGACTTAAAACTTGGCAAGTTTCATCACAGCCATATTTGCCACAGAATGTTTCAGAAATACATGCTCTGTAAAACTAGCTGCTCTAATTTTGGCTAAATAATGGCTAATTAACTCTAAATGTGGAAGGTATCATTCTAGAGAAACTGGTTTCTGGACTGTATATCCCAACCCAGGTTAGCTGTTAACCACCATGTTTTTTTTTTATGTTGTCCATGTTCATCCAAAGCCACCACTCACTCTTGTGCAAAAGCTATTGTAATGCATACGTCCACCATTGGTTGCGAGATCCGGCTTACCAGCGCAGTGACGTCACCACCCTTAGCAGTGAATAGCAGGGACAGCAGCCATAGCTGGGCTGATGGGAGATTTCCCTTTGGCTGAAGGGGCTGGGTCCCTTTTGAGTGATGCCGGAGACCCAGGTTTGAGTCCCTGACGGTGGGGGGCCGACCTGATGCGGCAGCGGCACGTGAACCCACGTGAACCCCGTAGCGTTACATTGTTGTCAGAAGGGGGGTGGGATAGCCCTTCGCCGAGGATGGCGAATTAAGCGGGGGAGAGTGTAACGCATACGGCCACCAGGTTGTTCAAGCTGGCTTACCAGGGCAGTGACGTCACTGCCCTTCCATGTGAATATCAGGGACAGCAGCCGCCGGGTTGACGGGAGATTTCCCTTTGGCTCAAGTGGCTGGGTCCCTGTTGAGTGACAGTGGATGCCTGGGTTTGAGTCCCTGATGGTGGGGGGGGCGACCTGAGGCGGCAGTGGCAAGGGTGCATACCCATGTGAACCCCAAGAGCATTACACTACTGTATGTAGCCAACTAACTCCAAACTTGGGGCGCTATGTATCTTTTTTTTGACAATATGATTAACATACAGTTTTTTTTTAATTAGAATCATATTTAAATTAAGATGGCTGCCTGGCAATAATTCTGTTCTTAAACGTCAGAAAACCACCGTCTATGATACTGCTATATGGATTGACTTAAAAACTGGCAGATATCATCACTCTAAATCCTGTTTCTAATTTACACTTCACATGTCGTATTTACACTTTTTATGCCCACAAATGGTTACCACCCATTTATCACAGCATCCTTTGCACCACTAACTGCTCATTTTCAGAAATGTGTCATTAATGTGATGAAAATATTTACAAGAATGAGTTCGGAATCAGATCCTGTGTTTATTAGTGAGTGAGGAGCTTTTATAGGAAAACCCATCCAAATTATGCTCCAAGGTCTAGAAAGTATTGCATGTTGCAGTAGTTATAAAATTATTCATGCTAGCGGACAAATATGTTTGGAAAATGGCAACCAATCTTTTTCAATTCCTAGCTAATATCAGAAATATTAGAATTGTTTTGAAAAGTGAATCCTTGCAGTTGAGGTACTATTTCTCTGAGTGTTCATAGTAAAAGTATATAGCGTAGATAGAATATAACAATAACTATGGCACAGCCACAATTGCAAAGATGTGCAATGGTGTTTATTACGAGGAACTGTGTTCCCAAAGTCCACACCCCCAAAAAACAAAGTAAAAAACACAAACTAACCAGGAAAAAAAAAGAAAACAACAATAGCTATAGTATAATAATATATACATTAATAAAACTGATTGTTGTAAGCAGCTCCTATTCTTCCCCCACAATCAACTTTCTCCTATCTCCCCCCATCAATCTTGAAGAGGTCATTTTCTAGGTTAAACTCCTCCCCCTAGGATATTCCACTATAAAGCAAAAAAATAATTTTACAAAATAATAATCAGAATTCTAAAATACACATTTCTTCATTAAGTACACAATTAAACAATGAACATATTATCATCAAAATAAAATATCAGACTCCATTTATGTACATAACTGTTATTTAAGAAAATACTAC